AGTATAAACAGGGAGAGGTTATTTTCAAAAGGTTTGTTTACAATGATGCTACGAGAATTGCAAAGAGAAACACGTCAATCGAGATTAAGAATCGTGCAACCAATTTAGGAAAATTGTTAATGAAATATGACACTCGCGTCGTTACGTACAATAGGCTCTACCATTTTTACTATGATACGTATGCGAATTAATTAAAATTTGTCGTAAAAGAAAATAAGAAAACCCATTCTTAGAAAACGTAAGAAAATGATTTCCAAGGTTAGGATGGTACTCTGAAAGCTTGTTAGGCTTATATACGTACGGTTTGTGCTACAGGCATACGAATGCTCCGTTTTCCCAACACAGATGGAACATAAACGTTCAAGAGCGTAACTTTGCACGAATGGTTTGGTTTGGTCGCACAAAAAAGGACTCGGCATACCACTTTTAGCGCTGCCAACACGCGGCCCGACGTTCCACCAGACGCGTCGATCGATGTCCGACGACTGTTGCACCTTTCTAATCGCAATCGCAGACTGATCGACGATCATTCAACGAGAACTCCCCCTTACTAAAATACAATCGATCGATTGGTCGCCGGTAACGCGTCGTGCAAATGAGCACCCTCCTTCCTCCTCTCAAAGCTCCATCAACAACATCCGCTACTGAGATTTTCAATCATGTTTCTGTTTTGCTCGTCGTATTCTATATTCGACCCTGACACGTGCATTATTTCGTAATCGGTAAAAAACATGGCCGACTCTGTTGCAGCTTGTATTTATTTCATGATTAACTTAATTGGTAAAGGAATCGTCGTTACACGTACAACCTCACACGACAACATCTGGCTCGTCGAGGATAGGTTAGATTTTATCTGGATAATAATTTCGAACAGATAAACTAGTGAATGAATATGAAAAAATTGTTATAGGTTAGTTCCTTTAGTTTGTCTAGGTATTACTAGAATAAAATTATGCCATTTCTGACATAGTTATAAATACGCAATACTTGTTGGACCTTGACTATTAGAATCAACAAGTGGAAAGGACTGACGATAAGCAACAAGTAAGGTTGAGGGTTGTAATGGGTACGTACTGCGTATAGTTACCATTCATCGGACTGTACCAATAATTACATCTTACTTACAATTAGGAAAAACCATCCTACTACAAATGTAATCAATAGGAAAACTTAACTGCAAATACACATGTATTTGTTTGGATCTGTTTTCAGAATAGGATAAGGAAATGAATAAGAATAAAAGCATTTATTTCCAGTAAAGAGGTAATGCATAATGAAAAGACAATAGCTAATACTTTTATTACTGCTATACCGTATTCTAAACACGTACTTTGCAAAACGTTGTGTGCCCTACACTTTCTTTCCTTTATTTTCTATTTGATAGCAGGAATCGAAATTACATTGTTGAAATGAAATCATATTTATTGGGAATCATGTTTTGGTTATAAGAAATATATAAGAATCTATCAAAATTGCAGCCATCAGCAAGTAAGCATTACACGCTTTACAACAAGAGTAATGCGAACTTCCCGAGTCACACCACGTGGAGGTTGCCGCAAAGAGTGACTCGCCCTACTCCGTCGTGTCCCATCCACCCTTCCTTTGCAAAGTTATGGTTGCGGAAGACATCATCGCAACATATCAATCGACCATCCCATTTGGAACAGGCGATCAATAATATCAAATCAGACCTACCCGAAAAAAAGAGGTAGGAGTGCTAACCATCCCCTAAACTCTTTTTCAGCTAAACCCTAGCTATGCAGGCAGGATGTCCCCTAGCTGTCCTAACACTAATCTGCAGGCAGGATGTGTTGACCCTAACTTCCTCTGTTAAGAGGAATTTGCAGCCATCAGCAAGTAAGCATTACACTTTACTGCAAGAGTAACGCGAACTTCCCGAGTCACACCACGTGGAGGTTGCTGCAAGTGGTGACTCGCCCTATCTCCATCGTGTCCCATCCACCCTTCCTTTGCAAAGTTACGGTTGCGGAAGACATCATCGCAACATATCAATCGACCATCCCATTTGAGACAGGCGGTGTCAATGAAATCTAGAATGACCTACCCGGAAAGAGAGGTAGAAGTGCTCGTCACCCCCCTACTCACTCTTTTGCTAAGCTAAACCCTAGCTAATGCAGGCAGGAACCCCTAGCTATCTTAAAACTAAGCGAAATAACTGCAGGCAGGATGTGTTGACCTATCTAAAGAAGAAGAATAACGGGCTGCCCAGGTTTTCTCGTCGCGCTAGTTGACGACTTCTTTCCACAATCAGAAAGAGGTCCACGGAAAACGGAAACGTGCGAAGCTACAACCAAACCTCCATCACAGGAGGGTGCAATTCAGTTGCATTGTCCAAATCGCACGACTCATCGCCACGGGAATTAGAGAGAAAGGAAAAATGCAAATAGTATGGAAACATCGGTTTCTACACTATTTACGTGCTTTTGAACGACGAAGATAAAGCAAGGGAAAAATGAATACCATCGCTTCCATTCGTCGGCAATCGCGAAAAATCCCTAATGTGTTACCGGTATTACGCGTACGATCTCCTCTAGCCTGATTCAAAGGAATCATATTACTAAAAATTGGCTATTGAGGAAACGTAAAAACTAATTTATCGAATCGTCGCGTACACTGGTCGTGTAATAGCGGTGCACGCCCAGAAGAAGACATCAATTCTAGACGCAGCACAAATTACACATTTCTTAGCAACGTGTCGTCTCAGAAATGACCACTCAGTCGTGTTTCATCGACGATGAAACAAGGAAAATGGCAGCCGTCTCCGTTCGACGTCACGGCTACGACTTGTGTAATTATTCACCTTACCGAATTGTAGACAGAGGGAACGAAGCCTGGGAAAGGGGACGATTACCGTTTGAGATGTCCGATGAACCAAATGCACTCGCGAAACACGGAAGACACGGATGAATTCGAATAAAACCAACAAACGACGAAGAAAACGTTGCACGGAGTTAGCTTGAACAAAATAACTAATATGTATACATAAATAAACGAATTAAGAATAAGGTCATGGTTTCCCCAAAAATGAAGAAATTGCAAAGCTGTGACCCAACCATTCCCTACAACCGTCCAAGCTAAACTGAATTTACGACACCACACGGTCAGGGAGGAAGCTGTTGGGAACGAATGTGCTGCCACCATTGCTCATTGTATTCCTCAGTTTTCCTAAGTTTGTTGCCTAATAACACTAACGATTGCTGAAACAGAATTTAAATTATATTTATCAAAATTTCTATTTATTTCAAACTTATTAACTATCCATTATCATTTTTGCTGAATTGAAAATCAAGAAAACCGCTAAACCGTTATGTCTTTCTTCAAAGGAAATGGCAACCGCTGATTGGCTACGCATCGACGTAGGCGACATCTATTGATAGTGAGTCATTTGAAGAAGAAAGCGGAAGTAACAGTAAACTTTCTGCGCACGCGTGTCGTGAATCACGTCAGTGCAGTACTACGTCGAAAATAAATGAGGGTTAATTAGGCCCCTACATAATTGATTTTGAAAATTATTCACAAATTGTTGAAAAATTAATCAATAAAGCTCAGAATATTGTTACATCAAATTGTTAATTTTATCAGTAGGTAAGACACGTTTATAATACAGTAACCTTACGCGATCTAGCTCTGGGTTTTTAGGCTTGATAAACTGTGGCGCCTGTAACGTAAACTTTGTACGCTCCTATTCTCAACCGCGCACGCCTAGAAATTTGTTTTTGTAACTGTCCAGGGTAAACATTCCTTTGTTTCCAAGAATTTCGTAGAGCCACCGAATTCCAACTTTTTTTTTTAGCTGAGCATTGGGAAAAACAAAGTTAAACGATGTTTACTGTTAATCGAACAGACAAACACAATTTTAAATTAAATAATCTGAAGGAAGTTTTGGAAATATTACATGAGCAATTTCAGCAAATTTCTAGACACTAAGATTTATTTCAAAATATGTTTCGATTACATTCATGTAACGACCTAACACGCCATTGCATTAGTGTGCGTCGGTGGCGTGTATGAATTTATACTTCGTTATAAAATATGTTCATACAAAAAGACAAATGCTGCTTTCGATTTCAGGGTAGGTATCGTCATTTTCGCTTGTGGTATCTAAAAAATGAATATTTAATTGTCAATGTAGTTTGTGCGTTCTCGTCGTTGAATGGAGTATATTTTTATTAGCTCATGCAGTTTTAAATATAGTTCTAGGAATGACACTCCACGCGTCTGTTAAATTTGTGCACTCTTTATGGGCAGATGTGAATATACCTGAAGGGACTTCAAAGGTCTCGTTCGTTTCTTTTATGATTTAACGAAGCCTCCTGGCCTCTCTTTCTGATTCTAAGAGGGTCAGAATGTCTCCCTCTCGTACAGGACCCTTCACGTTTCGAATCAACTGCCTGTTCTGTTCGTTCAAGAACTCCACCTTTACCTGCGTGCATTGTCCCTGGGAACCGGTTCTACCGAGGACCTTTACCACCCTTGCACGTACTATGGGTTTTTCCATTCCTTACGATTTCTCGATTTCCGTTGCACGATTACACAACTAATTACGATCCTTTCAACCAATTCGTTCAACTGCACTAGAGCGTTTACCAACTTTATTGGCACAATTTCTAATACGACTTCGAACCAAGTTTCAAATAATGTCCAAGATGATACACGAGTTCGAACGTAAAATATACCATAAAATAATTTAACGACGAAAATTTTGAAAAGCAGACAAACGAACGTGTTTTGTGAAATTCTAATTTTCGACTGGAAGAATCTAAAAAGCTGACGAAGCTTTTACTTTGGCAGCATTGGCAAAAGCGAGCTTAAAATAGCTTCTCCGACGTTAGATTGGCCGCTTAAATCCCACGTGCGTATGACGAATTCTATGGCTGTAAATTTAAATCGCGTGTATCGAATACAATAAGAATTTTCGAAGCAACGATGGCGTTTTAATCGAAAGCAATTCCATTGTTGATCGAATGAAACGATCGACGTACGCATTATATAGATGTTTATTCATTTGTGCTTTAGTATAAACGTGACATTCCTTTCTTAGAACACGGAACATTTTATGTACTTGAAAATTTGTTTCGCAAGGATCCGCAATACTCTTCATCTTGTGTATGTATTTTTTTCCTTTCCACACGCTTCTCTTTTATACACTCTCCGATGTTCGCACACACATGCGTACAGCCTCGCATACGTATACTCGTTTGTTCATATAAAATTACAATACTTGAAAAAAGTGTCATGTACTGTACGCGATACATGGTCGGACAATATACATTGCACATCGACGCGTAGTGTGTATGTGTATATGTATGTGTGTTTGTATGTGCCCTAAAAGCGGAAATGGTTTAATCAATTCTTCTCTGCTGCGCATCTACATGCATTACATGATGTGACGCTATTTGAATTCTTCGGCAGCAATTTGTAGGTTCTGCTCGCAAGATAGATGCGTGTAATTAAAGGTTTGCTCGTTCGTTAGTACAGTCCTACAGTCTCAGGCTCTGCAGAGCCTTGAACACAATGCGCGCGGATTCGTGTATGATCGAAGACACACATTTAGTGCTGTCACGTTTGTCGGATAATTTCTGGCTACGAACACGATAGCGCAGCATTACGAAGACGAACTAAGGAACAATTACATAGCTGATACCGCAAAACTAATTGTGTACCAAAGAAAATTGCTAAACAGATTGTAAATGACCGTAACGCGCGTTTAGATCTCGGCTCTGGTATGCACGTTCGGTATCGGTATTTGATTTTTATACGCAATAGGCAAGGATAATATACCAGCTATGTTACAAGTGGAAGTAAATTATTATTTTCCATTCATATACAGAATACCAAATGTATTGAAGGGAGACAGAAATAATAATCTAAGTAGGAATGTCCTTTACAAGGACTACAATTAAAAGACAGTTGCTTCTATATACTAATCAACTAATAATAAAGAAGAAGTATTGTATTGTTACTTAACGAAGATAATATATTACTTCCACGCTCAATGTTGCACTTAAACCAATGGCTTGTGATGCTTACTCTTCTTTCTCAAAGAATTCAAATTAGATACCTTTTCAAACGAATGAAAGATAAACAACTTTTGATGTTGACATTATTTGTTCAATAAAAATTACAATCAAAATTATACATCAAGTAATGCATTGTAAACAATAAATAAAACCTTATCCGAAGACTATTCAATTGAAAATCTATTATTGTGATAAAATTCTGTCCACTTCTGGTATTTATACAACTCGACTTACACGATATGTCGAGAACGTACTGTGTATTGTAAATCTCACTTTCAGTACATACTAGACGCGGCCGAAATCTAAACAGGTATATGTATACATGTTTATACACTTCAACGTAACAATGAACACTTCCTCGTGTCAATAGAAAAGCATAATTGTTATACTTTCAACGTATCTATTCAATCTCAGTGTATCCTTCTATATCCCGTTTCCATAAATACCTATACTTACACATCTTTATGTACATTTTACAGAACTCTTTGAGTGTTTGTTTGCCGGTACAAAATCACAGACATTCCAAGTTACCATCATTGAAACGCATTCGGAATGAAATGAAAATAATCATAAGATTTCCAAGTTCATGGCTAAGTTTCAACAGTGATGACTTGATCACGATACAATGTTTACTATAAGTTGTTTAACAACAACAACAATAATAATAATAAAAAAATTATATAGAAAAAAAACCGAAGTATTCGCACGTATAATACAGTGCCTCGTTGTTTCCTGCCTAGATATTTTGTCAATCTGCTCCCTTAGATTAAGAACATTAAGTAAAAGTACAAACGATAATAATTATATAGCGAGTCTAAAAATATGAAAACTTTTTTGTCCCCCCGCTTCCCTACGATTCGTTAGATATAATTTCATCATGAATTACGTTTTTACAGCTTAATTTACCACTTATACGCGAAGTGTAAATTATTCACTGGTTAAAAAAAGTTTACTTCGGAAACACTACGTCGGCGTTCGTCTTTCGACGCTTCGAAAAGCGTACTACTTTGCGTAATAGTCGTAAAAATCTTTACAGTCTCCTATCATCCGATTTTTAAAATTGAGAGAGAAAATTAAAGGCGGGATGATTTTCTGTAAAATTGAGAACGACTCGATTAAATAAAGAAGCACGATTCCGAAGGATCCTGTGTTGAGAATTTCTAAGTATTTAATATGTATGCGATAAGTATTATCGCTGCTTTGCGTACCTATCGCCTCGAATACAATAAGCGCGTATCGAAATTGATTTTGAATATATTTCCATCCCATCCCTACCGGTAAGATAAATGAAATATAACTAAAACCTCGAAAAGGACGATCGTATCGACAAAGATCGTTTACCCTAGACGAACAAATTAGACGTAGAATTTCTATATAATATTTGGAATATAAAAATATTTATATGGCTATCGTTTAACAAATATTATTTCTGCTCGAGGAGAATATTAGTTTATAACGTTAAACTAAGGATAATAATATTGATCGACTATAACGTTAAGATTATTCTGTACCTAGCCATGTTACGGCTTTCACAAATTGCTACGCAGCAATGAGATCTAAAGTGAAGGAAACGAATCTATGGAATTTTCATTGGTTTTTCATCTCATCAGTCGTTGAATAAATGAACCCATCGTCATACGAACAGTGTATAGGCCGTGAAAATAATTCCTGTATAAGTTTCCAAAACCAGAATAATCTTATTAAATTCGTTAACATACAGACTCACGTGCCTACTTTTTGTTTTCATTTTTTTTTAATATGTATGCTCCCTTCACCCTGCGCCTCCTCGTAATTAAACGACTATGTCGTAATAAATGTAACAATGTTCAGCACTCTCACTTAAAAGCAAACGCACAGGCAGCTAGTGATTGGTCAGGTGTGAGCTTTTTACAATACATGCTTACCGTTTCCTCTTTGCCGCGCTTAAACGTTATAGTTATCGAATTACATATCTATTAATGGAATGACGATATGAGTAAGGATTGGTAAGAAATCATTTCGGAGTACAAATACATTCTAATGCCTCGTCGATATAAACAAAGTATCGTTGGACGCAGAAATTCATTACTTTAGGTTGATTCAATGATTCGATTAAAATTTCTTTCGTCCGACATGTGAAACGATTATTGGTCGTTTGTGTATTTTTTTGTATATCTTCGAGGCATCCGTCTTTCGTAGCCTAAATGAATGGCGATCGATTTAAACACGAGAATAAAGAATCCATTCTAATCATCGATCCATAAATTCTATTGTTTATCTATTGAAAAAGTCTATTTTGTTCGCGTGATATACACGCGCTCGTTGGAGGGACCATGAGTCTTGAATGGGCCTAAGGCTCCTGGCGAGTTTGTAGTAATTGGCTATAAATGTTTGCGTATCGATTCGATGCGTATTATCAACGGTGGTCTCGTCTCGATCTATCATCGATGATGTACAACTCGAATACTAACTTCTGCGTACTTCTAGTTCATTAGAAATGCCTAAAATGTTTCTATGCAGTACGAGTCTTTTCCTAGCCAGCCTCTTCGACATACTCGTCGTGTGAAGTAACACTCGTAACACCCTTCGTTCCATGTTCCGCATTCGAAACGCATCATCGAGAATGCAGGCAGGCTTCATTTTAATGCGATTTGCATCTTCGATGAACCGTTCTAAATACATGCCAGAAATAACCGATTTTATTCGCTTGTCCTACGATTAAAATGAGTTTTAATAATTGAACAGATTTCGTCGATTCACGGCTGGCAAATAGACGTGGAGAAAGCTTCGACGCGTTACAACACACCACTTTCGTATGCGCATGTCGTTCTATATTCGATGAGGAAAGAAATTCAGAATCGTAATCGTGAGTTTTCGAAGACCGTTTTCGCCGGAACACACATATGTACACTAATAAGTTCGCAACTATCGATCGCACGATCTTCGACGAGATCTAAGTACAACGAACAGCCGTAACACGATTACGCGTCGATTACTGGTTATCTTCTGATCACTGCACCGCTTTAACGAAGAGATCGTAACTTCAGTCTGAGTACAAAGTAGGCTATCACTCTCAAGATAAGCAAGAAACCTGTGAGCGCGACGGCGTCCATCCAGAAGACGGCGTCCTCCATCGACATCTGTTCGAGGAACTTTGTCGGGCTCTTGTAGTGGCAGTAGGCTTCGGAACACTTGAGCTTAGCACGATTGTAACCATACACAGAAATCATGGTGCCCTCAAAACTGTACCTGACGTAGCTCGCGTACGCAAGAAATTTCAAATACTTTGGAATGGCATTGAAATTGACGAAGAAACCGGAGAACAGAATGATTGGCACCGATGACACGGGACCAATGAACACTCCGCTCTAGAAGGAGAAACAAATTGTTTTTCGTCGAAAAACCAGCAACCAGAAATATAATTATATTATTACTTAACGAAAATAAAATATTTACCTCCACACTCAACGCTGCACCTATTACTAAACCGATGGATTGAGAAACTAATGCTGTCAATATACATATAGTTAAATACATCATGAACCTATTCGCTTCCAATGGCTGCGACGTCATGAAATATACAATGACGACATACGCTATAGAATACACTATCTGTAGGAAAAAAAGGATTATAAGGTTAATGAAAAATTGTTGAGCATGGTTTGACGTTAGTTTGACGCTTAAATTGAAAATGTTATATAGTTACTTGAAAGGGCACATCAGCCAGTGTTCTCGCAATATAGTAAGCTTTTACAGAATACCAATAATTTAAATGTTCTCTCACGAATACGGCCATTTCCATTGGAACTACAGATTGAGAAAGATTATTTATAGACGTGATAACAGAAGCGTAGGAACTATCGTCATTCGTCGTGACTTACACGTAAGAATGGTAGGCATCATAGCAGTGAACATGAGAAACATCACCGTGAAGAAGACGCAGCCGGCATTGCTCATTACTTGCGAGGCCTCGTTACCGATGTCGTAATAAATCGCACCGATGAGAAACCCAACGATTATGTGCGATATCAGCCTTACTCTCGTTAATGTCTGCAACACAGAACACGCAAATTTCGAATAACGAATAAAAGATAAATAGCTTCTAATTTATTATTTATTTGAGAAATAACATAATTTATTTGACAAATGTCTGTGCAACTGTAAACCCACTAACCATGTCTCTTATTTGCGATAAGAAAATTCTCTTAAGGAGGATCCAAAATTGGGTAAAATTATTCGTTGGAAAGCCGACTTTCATCTCTATGCTCTCAGCGCTGTCGAGCAAAGAAGTTGTGCATGAAATCGGCATATTGATCGCCGTTCCGCCATTTGGTTGTTTAACAACACCGTTTGGTATCAAGGCAGTCTCAGATTTCGTCTCTTGCGGCGGCGATTCCTTTGCTATGTCGTTCGAAACTGTTTGAACTGCATTAATCGTGGCATGATGGTGTTGGTAATTGGCGCACTTGCCGTTGTTAACAGCCATCACCAACTTGTGCACGCATTCTCCATGCTCTCCGCATGCCACTTCCATCACTGTAACAAGAAATTCCTTTATTTTTTTTAATTTTTTTTTCATTTAAAATAAAATCATTTGTCGAGAACATTAAGTTGCTCGCATAAATGTTACTTGAGAAGAGACGACCGAGACCTTTGAAAATCATTAAACTTACAGTCATAATCTCTACGTACCATAATCTGCTGGATTGTGATAGCCGGGGCACTCTAAACCCATCGACGACAAAAAGGGAACTAAACCTCCTACGTTTCCTTCGTACATGCACTGCCCTTCAGCCAGAAGATACAAATGGTCAAACATCTCGAACAACCTGGCACTTGGCTGATGTATAGTACATGTAATCGTTCTCCCTAAAACGAAAGTACAGATGTTTAAAGAATGCCAACCAGCATTGTTAAAAGGCGATAATTGAAAACGTTTACCTCCTCTACTTAACGATTTGAGCAAACTTAAACATTGGTAACAAGTCGAACTGTCCAAACCAGAAGTTGGTTCGTCGAAAAACATCACCGGAGGATTGTTCACGAGCTCCAATGCGATTGATAACCTCTTTCTCTGTCCTCCACTGAGGCAATGAGACTGTGTGTTGCTCGCATCGCTCAGGCCAAGTGTTTCAATGATTTCTTCAATCTAAGTAAAACATGAATTTCGAATAACATGGATAATATATACATATATATTATAGTTAAACTGAAATTTTATCCACGGACCACTACTTTCTTCTCCTTCGCGCTGATGTCCTTCCCCAGCTTCAAGTTCGCTGAAACCGTCATGGCTTCGTAAACCGTCAAGTGGGGCAATAGACGATCGTCCTGCATTATGTAACAGGACATCTTTCGAAATCTTCTCAGATTCCTGTCCTTTCCGTTTATCAGTACGGAACCGCTTAGATTAGACGTCCTGGAAACAGGGAGAGAAATGTTCGATGTAATCAGTTTCTGTTTCATCGGTCCGCGTAAATTTCGAGGATGAAACTTACTTGTAACCTGCCAGAACATTCATGAGAGTACTCTTTCCAGCGCCGGAAGGTCCCATGATAGCAGTCAGTTCCCCCGATCGAAATTTCCCGTTCACACCTTTCAAAATTGTCTTGTAGCCTGAAACGTACGATATATGAAGAAATCGTGCCTGGTACGGGTTACAAATATTTTATCCCAGAGTTCAGGTCGCTCTCTGTTTTCCTTCGATTCGCTATCCCTCCATCGATTTACATTTTCGCGATTTACGTAATATTTCGCATTGCCAAAATAGAATCTTTCATGGCACCGTTCTTGGCAAGTTCACCGAGAGTTCGCGTGTATAAGGCGATAAAATTTCATTAAACTATTAGTTTCTCTTGCTCTGCGGCGAGTGCAACTGCACTCGTGAAGTGCATCTGAATCGCAACGTGAATTAGACCGTACCTATTGATTCTTTTAACTAGGTCATTCACACGCGTTATTATAAAAAAAAAAATTGTTCGGGTTTTCATGCGAACGTGGCGGTTACGAATAGACCAACCTCTCTTTCTGCCTTCGGATACGCTGTAAGAGAGATCCTTGAATTCAATGTCAACCGGTGGCCTCTTCGGAAGATGCGTCAATGTTACTGCTGGCCTTTTACCATCCTGTCCAGGACTATGGTTCGGTACTTTTCTCGCGAACATGCTGTTACTACACATTGCAACCACGGCACCATTCGACGCGCTACCGTTACAGTTGCAATGGAGATTGTTTTGCGAGCCACTGTAATAGAAGAAAGGAACGTTTTATGACGATTATGGAATTTTGGACATTTCCCGATAAGAATCTTATCCCGCTACAAAATTACTGTATCAAAAGGAGTTGAAAGATTTGACAAAGATGTATCTATGCCCCCGAGTAAATTCTTTTTATATATTAACATAGTTAAATTGTAAATAAAATTGAATTGTAAAATTGATAAGTTTTGAAGACGAGTCCGAAAACAGAGACGAAGGTACACAAAAATTCTAGCTAGTTTCAGGCCGTAAAATTCATCATCCACGTCGTTAAATAATTGTTGGTTTTCGTTTCCACGAAGTCGGCGTTTAAGTGAAACTAATAAAGAACAGCTCACTCAGCTCCACTTTACCGGGTCATAGATTCTTGGTTTCTTTTCCTTGTACGAAGTTCTAAATACCTAATTGCCACATGTGTTCAACAGTTCCTTTTCTCGACGGGGCGGCATAGAAAAACCTCTTTTCTCGCGTAAAAGTACGGCGAAACAACATTTCATATCGCAGCGTATGTGGATTATTTTTAGACGGATTCGTTGCGTATGGACGAAGCGGAAGGTCTAGTCAATGTTGGAGCAATAAACAGTTAAACAAGAAAAGAAAGAAATAAAAACTATGTTTTTCAATTTACGCTTTCATCAGTATTCCAGGGTAGAAAATAAATCTTTTAAAAGTGTAACGTAGTAAAGAAGAATTTTGGACATTTCCCGAAGCCTTACGAGTTATGCATATTTGGCTTGTCGCGTGTGTAATTTAATCCTTCACTTGATCCCAGTTTTAAGGTTTCAGTAAAATTGAGAAATAATCGATATCGCGACAACGTCTATAGCAGTGTTTCGCAACTAATTATAAATATGAAGTTGGGAATACCGCAATTAAAACTTTGATTTCCGTTCACAGCAGCTGAAATAAATTGATTGATACATCTTTGATACGTCCGCGGAATGTGACCATCGCTCCCAAAATCAGATAGCCAGACAATCGGCGACTTCGAGGTATCAATCGGCCACCAAGGGGCGATATTGTTCACGTTGAGAGACATGGTCAATAACCAGCACGTTGACAATCGGCTAAATTTATATCGAGTTTTTATCGCGTGAAATTAGGTAACCACTAATCCAACAAAACAGATAATTAAATCGCGTTAGAGTGTTTTGTTGAACCGAAACGATTAAACAGATTCGCGAATTGATGATTATAAATACGATCAAGGAAGACCGGATCTTGTTGGATTCATTTTTTCAAGTTGTTTTTTCATCCTTTAGATACGTAAACATGTTTCTATGAAAACCCAAGCGAAGAGGATCAAACGCAAGAAATATATAAAAAGAAGAAGTTTATCTTGTAACATTTCTACGATTTTGTTTCTAAGAATAGCAAATCATATTCAAGGAAAGGAACTGCGAAGTATTCCTCCACTTGAGCCTATGTCTCGACGCGATCAATGAACGGACCTTGAGTTCCGTTTTAGACATATTTGGGATGTACGTAGCACTTCGCGTGTTCGATGTCGACTCGATGACCGCGCACTATCTCATTCATCGTTTGCACCATAAAATATCCGTTATAGAATTCTAGTTTAGTTCGAAACACGTGAGTAACAAAAGCGAGGGTCACGAATGTTGACGAGTCCAAAGTTTCTGGCAATTCAATGTTTTCACTCCGGCTTGTTAACCGAAATCTGTTCTTAGTCACGGAACACGGTAATCAATGTAATCATAAATCAAAGTTCGGACGAAGAAAGGACTTCATAAATTTCTTTTTGAGTAGGTCATTCCACGACAAATCAAAGATTTCAAACAACATTTTGGATTTTGTTCGGTAATCGGATATATAGTTGCCTCTGTACATTTACAGATATTCATTTTCATGGAAACAATATAATTACATATATATATTATTAATTCCTTGGAAATAATCAAACACTTGCTCTTATCAAACATACATGTATACGCCAACTGAGCAAACATAAAATTTTTCATAGCAGCTCCACTGGAATGGAACACCTGGTATTTTAATCCAATTGACAATAATTGCAATTTGTTATCGCGAAAAACTTATTGGAAATGTCGTTTAAATTTGTCTTAGTAACCCACGTGATAAAAGACGCGACGAAACATTAACAGATGGTGCAAAACACCAGGTGTTCCATTCAGTTCCTCGATAATCGTGGATTTCATTTGTTATCGCGTAAAATAGCTATGTACGTATCGAACGTCAGTGTCGTTAAAAAACAATTGATTGTTGCACCTAAGAAGATGATAATACACGGAATCTTAATGTTTCCATAGAAAGAAATATTTATGATAAAAGTGTATGTTATAAATTCTTCAATTTGAAATGTGTGAATAGATCAAAAATGTTCTATTGGGGAATAATCAGCTGACAGTTACTATTGCAAGCTATGTGAAAAGACATCTTTGAAAAGCGAATTGAAGCAAACCGATGAAAAGAGCAAACTTCGAGACTACGGTACATTCAGACCATTTTGTACGAAGCTTTGTATATATCATACAACACATTGTACGAACATACGAAACTATCCTATCGTGCCTCGTTCAACTGAAAAAATGCTGCCTCGATTTGGACAACGTTTCAGGGTCGGGGTAGAGATGCAATTACTTAAAAGGGATACGCGTGTTCTTCTTTCTAAGACGCCAGCTTCGAAACTTTTATTCTCTAAGAAAAAAATGATATCTTTACCACCAAAATTAAGTAAAATGTTTGGAGATCACTCGTATTAATAACGTCTTCTACTTTGAAAAATACTGTCTCGATCTTCCAGATAAATTCCGATCGATAAAGACAAACGTAGTCTAGGCTTATCCTCTTGTGTAGACTTCGTGCTCGGTTTCGTTTGTAAATTCGAATCGCTCGAGATTCAAATATCTTTGCAACATGCGCATGGCAGTATTCTTTCGAGATTTGACTCGCTATGTAGAAGACACGTCTCGGTTTTGCGAATAAAACGACTAGAATCAGACCTGAGGACCGCATTGTTGAGGTTTTCCAAATGTAGCGTGGGTGGAGGTGATTTAATTGTCACCTGGTGACTACCGCCCGGTATGAACTGTACTTGTTCATCGCCGCTGTACCTGGAACTCCCTACGCTCAGAGTGAGATTCTTCAGATCTGCCATCATCTGCTGATGCTGAAACGACAAAATACTCTATTAACATACAATAACGTTCGCCGTATAAAGGAGCATGTTTCGGACTTTCCAGAGCAGTAATCTTTAGTCTGACTAGTGAAAGTCTCAGTCTCGATGCTACAAATCGGTAGACGGTGTCCCGGCGGTGCCGTAGGACGAGTCCGGAGAAGGTCGAGTTCAATGATCTATGATTTAAGGTCATTCAAAGTCAATCAAGATCAAACAGTAATAGTTCGGTCGCTATAGATACTTGAGAATATATTCGTTCTTATACTCGACGTACATTACTTTATCGATTAGTTCCATAAAGGAATGGATAATTTCACATACAAGAAAGAAGTCGACCTTCGCGTCTCCTCTACGCCGTCGGCTACAAAGAAACTACACTCACTGTATAACTATCTCTCTTTGTTGTTGATTTCTTAACTGGAATTCAGGTTAGAAGCCAACACACCAAAGTAGCACCTCTTTATTATGAAACTGTTCCGAATGGTTCGAATAGAAACATTTCACAGCCCATTGAACTTCTACTTGCTCGAATCTTTCTTTGTTCCGGAACAAAGAAAATTCGTTTGCGTGCAGCTCGCCAGTTAATTATGACACCACACGGAAACGTGAGTCAGGTTCTCCGCATCGATAACCAGCAAGGCCTTTCGTTGCGAGGAAAAAAATGAAAATTTGATTTAGTTTACTCGAAATTTTGAACCGTCCACGAATCCCAAGCTTGTAAACGAACGAGTGACGTGTCGAGCAGTTTGTCAGCGAAGCGTAGCAAAAGCACGACAGAAATTTCATCGCGACGCTTTGAATGAGGACTCTTAGGGATAACATCGATGAATCATGCGCATTTAAAGCAACTTCTCTGGATCTGTCAAAACGAGTTCGTCGACAAAGAGCTCTCTCCTTTTTTGCCTCCGCAGAAGCGTTTTCTATCCTTTTAGGTTTTATTTGCCATGCATTAACGGGAGGATAAGTCGTAACATTGTCTGTCAAATTGCCGAGAGACGAACAAATCTACGTTCAAGTCTTGAACAAAGTTTTCAACTTGCTTAATACGCTTGGTGCAAACGCACATTCTGGAAAATTGTTACTACCATCTCGTTATAGACAAACCTTCGATTTTTCTTTTTATATAAGAATAACATAATCATCTAAATTTACTTGTAAATCGATATTAAGATGGAATGTACTGGTATGCAATGTAAATGGTCAGATTGGTCTTTGTAAACGTTCATCGTGAGATATTCGAATCGCGAAACGAACGTTAGACCTTTCGTGAGACGTACTATGCAAATTCCTCATGGATTTTCCGTCTAACGGCCCTTAATCTTCTTTGATGATAACGAAAATAGTTACAGTGGAAATTGGCCTAACGCCAGGAAAGAATGCTCCGTGTCGAACTGTGTTCTAGTTTGAAGAAATAAAGTTGTAAAATTCTTGCGCAGAATGTTTCAAGTCATAAACTGTAAGACAATACAAAAAAAAAAAAAAAAAAAAACAAAAAAAAAATATGTTCCAAAATAAAGTGTAATACCCTTTTAAGACACGGTGCGGGCGTGGCCTTCGAAGTTCCCTTCACTTGTAATTTTCTATTGTCTACACGAAAAATACTTGTATCTTTTCTATAATGACAGATGATAACAGGGATTAACGTAACTTAAGCGATGCCATACTTTTCGATCACAAATATTATCATCGCCACTTACTTACCAGTACAAAGTATAGAAAGATATGATAACACACATTGCTAGACAGATATTATAATCCTCTTACGATATTACTGTATAATTTTGTACAGATCATTAATTCGATAATTTCGTATGGCTGATTATGCAAAGTGTTCCGCGAATCAGAACGATACTAGAAATGGGCAAGAATTTCTTATCCCGACAACATTTTTCTTTTACTTTTACCAAGCAACTTCGATAAACGCAAACGAGAACTTTAAATAATTAGGGTGACAGAACGGAAACCTAAGGACATTGGACAGTGCGATAAAACGATCGTAGCGTTAGAACAAGTACACGTGCCAGAAATTGCATCCGACCCTCGACACACGTGACACGATTTGTAGAAATGCGCGTCTTCCGAAAGCACGTTCTCGTAGAATAGATAACCGCGTGTTGGTCAGATTTTCCATTGACGCAGAGATCAGTTAACTTTTTCTTCTTTGATTTTTTCTAGCTTTTTATTCTCCCAGATGATCAATAAGGATCTTACTTCATATTTCCAATGACGGCGTTATAGAAATCCGACTAAACGCGTTGACTATTATATCGTAACCCCGATGAATCTAATTTTCGTTGATTTCGTAAAATGATATGGAACAAAATTATGAATAAAGAGAATATCACTACTCTGCACTAATTAATAATTTTTCCCAACTTCGTCGTGACGAGAGGACCGACGCAAGATTGAATCGATGAATATTCGATATCTGCGTTAATCTCGGCAGTTTTATCGGAGTATTTCCCACTGAACGAACATGTTAACAATCTCACGCGGCTGTAATGAGTTTCATGCTACTATAGTCAACAACGATTTATCGGATCGCGATTGCTACTAACATTTATACGTACGGTCAAGGATCGCGTAAGATATTTTTGTCGCAGGGCCAATAAACTCGTGAACGCATTATGGCACGCAATATTCTCACGCGTAAATCGGTCTGGATCGCATAGGGTCATCGACCAATGCCATTTTTCGGTATCCATGATTTCTCGAACTCTTTGGTTTTCAAATTTCCTCAAAGGCAAAGTAACGCAAGAAAAACATACACCAACGTTTGTTGGATCTTCGATTCCAACAAAATTTGTCGTCTAACCGAATTGACATTATTAAACGTGTAAAATTCGTACGTATATTATTGGGTCTTGTCGAACGTAATAAGATAGGAGAATTATATATTCCGAAACCTCCGAAATAGGAGACTGTTCCAACGATTAATCGCGTCTAGGTGAACTGGGTCAACGAAATTATTTCACAACCATTACACTCGATAAGACCAAATAATGTATATACAAATCTCGCGCGTTGTCTTATTGATTTTTTAAGAGGAAAAAAATATAAAAAAATTCCTTTATTCGATATCGTCGCAGTCATTACAATTGGAGAGCATAGCATAATTTTTTCATTAGATTGCATTTATCAAACTTCGTATACAGAGCTCGAGGCACACGAAGAATATTTCGATTACCCGAAGAAATTTCATGTTCAAGGAGGTTATAAGAGCACGTGTGGTGCGCAGAGTCGCCACAATAAAGCGTGCTTGTTAGGGCATCGATCCAGCTCTTAGTTTTAGTCTGTCTAGTTTCGCGGCATCAGCGATTCTTTATTTTACTATAATTCGCGTACAATTTGACGTCCACGTGCACCGAGGACGTGTCCCAGTCTTTAAAATAGAACAAAGTTTGCACCGAGTCACGTCGCGCACAACTTTTTTTGCGCTGGGAGCAAATCGTGTGTCGTGCCAAGACTCGAACCTAACCACTATTATTTTTCTACTGTAACTTGACAATTTGCGACGACGCTATGGTGCATAGTGCAATCAATGATTCACGCGATATGTGCGGGAAATTGGCGTTCTTTTCCCTCGAGTCATCGTAAATAAAATTACGGCTAGCGTCGTTGCACGCTTCACCGAACGTGCATTACAATTGTAGAGACAGACATGTAAGACGGAACACCGAGAGAGGACCGTGAAAAATAAGTGGGTCGTCGTGCAATATGCAAACAAAACGATCCGATGCAACGCACGCTTTTCAGTGCCACAAAGTTAGTATAAATCGTTCCAAGCGAAGGTGTCGATCGTACGGGTTCCAGCCTATTTTACAACCATTCTGCGTTCGAACACAAGGTTAGACGCGCGAACAACGGAAAGCGGGACAAGTCCTACTCCCATTGGACAAAGAAAGGCGCTTAACCTCTTCGTACCCGTGCCTACAGCCGCTGAATATTACTTCTTTCTTTTAATTTGTAATTTACTTAAATATTTCATTCATAATTTAATCGTGACTGTTTTATCATTGGCTGGAAAAATCGCACTGAACATGGTTGCCCGATACTCTCCCCTGATGTACATGTATTTTTTTTTTTTTCTTCATTTGTTCACTATACTTTACGTAAAGACGTTTAGATTTGACAAAGGCTGAGCCAGTACAGTCGAGTTAAATATACAAAGTAAATACTGATATATCATTTTTACTTGCTCTCAACATTAAGACACATTAAAGCGACATTAAGATCCCTCGTACAAGTGGAGTACATGACAAGCGATACCGCGAGCACCAAGAAGGTTAAGCCTCATGTCAAGACAGAAGCGCAGGGCTGTCAAGTACGAATCTAGCAGAAACATCGCGCGTAATAAGGAAAAGGGGATCGACTCACCATCGGTCGAACGTTGATTTCGATATTCTAGCAACGTCCGAATTCATGCCCTGATAGTGATGACGTGCATCCTCTGTTTTTCCGCCCTTTATTCGGTCGCACCACCGTGCACTGCACTTCTCGTTTCCAAGAGAATCGTGATCACACGGTAATCACAATATCTAATAAGGTAGAAGTTCGACAGGCCTCGCTTTGTGTATATATATATATATATTATACACACATCTGTACATATATACACGAACGCCTATATCGTTACGATGCGCTCTTAATCCTCGCCTTCGTTTTCCCGACGATCGATGAGGTGTTTTCCGAATCGCGAGGCTGCATTCGTCCCCGAGGGAAGTGTCGTCCGCCCGATAACGCGATTTCTCTCTTGTCTCTGGCTCGAATCGCGCATTACACGCACACACACGCGGGACGATCGAAAAACCCCGAGCCGCAACCAACCAATCCACACTACGAACTGCGAGCTGCGTTTAATAGTCAGAGAAAAACGATCAGCTCAACGCAACACACCGTACCGGAATCAGCTGTCGCGCTTTGCTATGCACCACCGTTCGCCTTCGCTAACGAAATGAACCGAGCTGTCCGGAGACTCGAAACCCAGGGATGTCTACGTTTATCGTGGAACCCACTCCCTGCTCGCGGCTTCTAGGCTACGTGTCGTACGGGGAGGAAGCGCCTACCCTTTCATTACGAATGACTCAGGCTGTTTCTTTTCAGCCTGATCCCGAGAAGTGCTCGGAGAAGTGACCTGTACGGAAGTCTGTTAAATTCGTTCAGGCTCTAATCTCGACTACGCGCAACGCCTGCGCGCTCCAGTTCGACAGCGGTACGTTTAAAGATATGCCAGAAAATCTACTACCGCGTTATCCTTTCGGGCAACAAAGGCTAAATTATCGTGTCTATTATTCTGGAGTTAGGAACGAACAAGAAATTTAAAAAAAAGCCATCAGAATAGCGCATCGATCGATAAATTCTAATACTTTTTCTATGGGAGAGCGTGAGAGGCACCGTATTAAAGAAGATTAACTTTGTTCGAGTTTGTTCCTTCTTCCGAAGGAACACACCCGTGATTAAAGTTTCTCCGAGAACAAAAACAAATTATTACTAAACGTCCGTATAAAAAATGTTCTTTGCACGAAAGACTTAATGAAAATAAGCATTAATATGAATGAATTATAAACATGATAAATGTTTACCGACACGACATCGACACCGTTGTCACGAAAAAAGAATCAACACGTTAGCCGTCGCTAATTTACCAAGATGCATTCGCAAAATTGTTTATCCGGTTCTTTTTCTCGAATTATGTCCACGGTCTTACGTAAACGACCGTCGAGATACTAGGGAAAGGGAAACCGATGACTAGGAGGTTTTTTGAATATTATATCTCGCAGTCGAAGCAATTCGGTGTAATTATACCACGGATAGATCAAACTACGGATCGTTTCTATGCAATTTCCGTGCGGAACGCACAGCACAATTCAAAGGTCGCGAATCAGAGATGGTCAAAACATTAATCGAGCGTTAAACAATGAATAATCAACTAATTTACTGCTAATGGTACAAGCAATAGTTCTTTATTGTTAACATTTGCGACCTCGCGTGATTATTGGTTGCATAACGACGAATTTACCTCGAAAGGAGTAACTGAAGACAGAAGGATGTAAAATGGAACGGAAGAAATAATAGATGACAAATCAGCAATTAAATTCAATCTATATTTCACATACAACGAATAAAAGTTGTTTCATTAGTAACTCGAAACTTTTATCTAAATAAGAATTTTCCTCATTCTTGTCAATGATTATCTTTGCGGCGATAATAGCTGCGAACTGACAATATCTAGCTCTGACGATATAATCTGATTTTAGATTTAAGTTCGTAAATTATTATATCGATTTACGAATTATCATCTGTATCGTTAATTAAACGTTATAATTTGACTTACAGAGAGAAATATTTAACATTCGTCAAATCCAAATGTAACTATTGAACCGAATAGGTTTCGATTTCACCTTCTTATTCATTAATCCAATACAAATTTTGATCTGATTGGGGGTGTTTAGTCGCGCCAGTTCGTTCCTGTATATTCTCGCGCATGCTCGACAATGTGCCTTATGGTTGTAGAGTCGAGAATCCCGCGATCGTTCGCGGAAATTTCGACCTCGACGTACTCCGTATACCGCGGGTCGCGAAGGAGAGGGGATAACTTGTCGAAGAGAGAAAGGAAGCGAAATGTTATTGGAAAGACTGCGACGAGAAACAGCAGAACGCGAAACGAAGTGATAAGAGGAAGAAGGAAGAAAACAGCGTAGGAGAAAGGAGAATGAGTTACCACATGCTGCGGGTCGATACTCTAGCACGCAGCTCGATGCTCGGTGCAGCCGTACTAGCCGCAAGTTCGTCTGCACTAAGGATGCGTTGCTTACCTCGCATCGAGTGCAAAGAGAGAGATGGATACATGAACCGAACGACCGTAGACGAGGGCTACCGCACTTGTGAATGAAGATCGAAGTTTAGCTTCTGTTCTGACGCAAGTGGTGAATCTCCCTGGGTTTTCAGGTGTTTAGTGACTCGCGCTTAAAATTCTCTATCGCATTTGTTTCTTGCTTATCCACAAATTAAATTTGATGGCACACCTTTTTAGCAGGGATTTCTTATTACATTTCAACCCTCTGCAAGTCTTCTTCTATTTAAATAATTTCACTCGGAGGATGAGTAGCAATAATGTTAAAGAGCTCGCACGTTCCTCGTGAACCATGGGTTGTCGAACGCGACGCGTTCCATGAGGAAAGACGTAAAGGAATTTGGTAAAATTGAAAAAAATTAATTTACAATTAAAACAAAGCGAGAAAGCAACACGAAACTCTTATACGTTCTCGACAGAAAGCGGCACGTAAGCAAAAATATAGAGCAGTAAAATCACGTTCGAGTCGATTTCAACATTTTATAGCTCGTGAAAATATAGAGTTTCTTTACAATATACCTTTGGTTCTGTTCTCGGAAAATCTATGCCATGCTTTCTTCGCTGAGTAATCGAGAAACCTCGCACAGTAAAATGTACCTGTCGGATTTACTGTTCTTGGTGGTTTCAAAGCGTAAGTATCCAACTCTTGATTCACAATTGGTAGACGAAACTATATGGAATGCAGCATAGAATGATTATGGAATTTTACTAACGATACAGAAAATGTATCTTTTCCCACAAACTTCATAATTATATTTATTATATAAAGCGAAATCTGGTCTGTTCAACTCTGTTATTGCCACTCTTATCATCTGAAACAGGCGCGATCGAAGTTCACGTTTGCAGCATCCTTTTCCACGTCATTCAGTCACGCTTGTTCTTTGTTGCCTCCCACCGTATTAGAAAATTTTGCCGTAACGGACAATGCACGCGCACCAAACATAACATTTATATCGTTCCGATAAATATGTTGCAAATTGAATTACTAAACATTCCGCCTTCCGCGTGGAACGAGCACGTGCCGAGTATCGATCGATTCTACGTCGTCTTCGTTTGTATACGGAAACATCTCGGTAAAATCGTGGATGGATTCGCATGCCAATTTTTGCGTAATCGACCTGTCTACCGCAGTAATGTATTTTGGGAGAAGAGTCTGCTCAAAATTGTCCACGAAATACCGTACATGTGCGCACCAGATTGCACGAGACAAAAATAGCATAAAACGCTCATCGATGCGAGCTAAAAGTAATCTTTTATAAACCTCGGAGCGTGAATTTCGCATAGCACTGTAAAATTATACAAACACGTGAATATGCGATAGTAACAGTATCCATTGGAACTGTGTCGGACTCTCTTTGATTTTTATTCGCGTTGACTCGACGCTCGAAGGATGGTTTAGTTTTTCTTCAAATTGTACCGACTTCAGGTATTTTTTACGAGCATTTGGCGTGATTAGAACATTCTACAAAGTGCAATCAAACAGGAATAAAGCCACGTGAATCGATTACTTTATATTCTTCCTCGTCGCATTACAAAGTGATAGATATTAGGTACAGTAATTTCACTGTTATCGTTGAAAAATTAACTCAATTAATCAGCTTCTCTAATCCATGACCACTTTCCACAATGGATAAGTTATCAGCAAATATCTTGCCACATAATCAAGTACATTTCACCGAAACTTTTCTAACACTCATCGCGTCAGCCGTTATTGAAGTTCAATGATACGAGCAACACAATGAAAATCTGTCCAAGTATAAAAGATAGGACAAGGTCAAAGAAAATTGTTCTATTTTATCTGTAACCTATCGATAACTTGACCAATAAGTTGGTTTAATTTTCAGAATAACGGAATAATAAATAGCTACACAAATATTATTAATACTCATGAACCAAGTATGTATATACTACGAAAAAATGTAAATATCCGTCTCTCTTACGCAGTGACATTCAAAAACGTACATTTGCTAATCTCTTGAGTGTTGACAAGAATAACCTAGGATTAGAGATAGATATAATTCTTATCTGGATAGAAATTTCGAATAATGAATAGAAGAAACAACTTTCAACCAGTGGATTTAACTCGAATTCGAATAAATATTGCGAATAAATCGCTATACAGAGTCTTCATTCGTAATACTATTCGAATAAGATGCGACCCATCTCTGCTCAGGATTCATACTTCTTCGTTGCTTAACTGGTCGGTTTACTAACGAAATACAAGTATCGCGAAGCCGTCGGAATGCACATGATCCATAATTTTCAAAGAACTTGTTTCATCTTTTTCTGATAGTGACTCACATACACGTGTCCCTCGTATCTGCTCGCGTGCGGATCCAGTGATTTGTACGAAATTGCGCGAACATTATCTCCTCTTATTTATATTATATTTTATGACCTAAAATAAGGCTTTCTAAGTTTCTAATTAAATACTTTTTACTTCAAATGGATCCTATCGACCTCGCTATAGCTCGGGTACCTCGGGATCCCTAATCCCGTACTGTGGCTACAAACAAACACAGCTACAGGCCCTGAGGTTTATAGTTATTGTGTTTGCTCGATCTTTTCGACGATGTTATTCTTTTCCGTGAACAGTTTCTATTCTCTATAATTCCACTCGCAGCTCGCAGCGCGTAGCTACGTTCGCAAGACCATCTTCGGTTCTAAGAAGACGAAATTTATGAATGCTTAGGAAAGAAAGGCTTCCATCCTTGCATTCCACATCTTTGACCGCGGCTCTGTAATCGTGTACTTACTGCCTTGTTGCAACTGCGGCTTATTACTTCTTCGTCTTTTTCTCGGTGTTCAGAGTCACGCAATTTGTCGATTTCTTTACTTTTATCTAGCATTCAGTAGTGAATTTCTATGAACAAATTTTCTAAAATAACATTCCAGAATACTTTATATGTGTTTAATGCACACATAATATCTAAAGTGGTATAATTTTTATAACTTTCTCCTATATACTCAATGACACAGCAAGAAATTATTATTTGGAGTTTGCGTCAATTGCCCTGCGAGACTTTGTTATTCGGAAGGACATCGTATATTGACAGTATTTAATTGAAATTCCTGTACGATAATGTATCACGATCTAAGGATTTGTTGTGTCGCTCTGATTACGCAGAGCGTTGTACGCATCAAACGATGCTCGGTGCAACTGCACTCGATTCCCATCTGCATCGCGAAAGGCGAATAAGCACTTTAATTGAATGCATTGGAACAAAGGATCAAGCATCCGATCTGACTCAAGTGTGACTTCATATAAACTCGTTTAATGATACATAGAGTTTCTCACTACATGCTCTAGCTCAAAAAGTTTTTGACAGAACAGATTAAAGTCTAAATAGAAATATTTATCGTATTAGCTAAAGACACGTTAAGGTGATTTGACGATTTTCGTTGTGATATCACAGATCGCGTATACCTAATTCAAAGAAATTGACCTTAATTGCTCTTTCATGCTTTTTTGCTTGAAATTTTTTTCTGTTAAGATATACATGGCATACTATCTATAAGGAAAACATCTGTGTGCAAATGCATCATCATGACACGATTTGTGTTTTCGCAATAGACAACAATAATATTTTCAATCATAGTATAAAATCGATATAGTAATACGATTTCGACATCGATAGTTTGAAGCCACTAATGAACGACTGTTATACCTCTGTGGCCTACATGTGTCGTTATTAATATTTTTGTATCAGGCAAGATGTTCTCTAATAAGTGGTATAAAAAAAAAAAAATTAATTGTGAGGATTCGTTAATAAATCATGGTGGTAAATTAAAATTACACGTGATAATTCGTTTTCAAAATACACGTTTCTGGCAAGGACTGAGCGGGTAAGTGTACAAATGTTTCGCTCCCTACCATACCGATCGCTGCATAGTGGTACTACTAGTAGCGCCGTCAGTGGGGAAACGGCCAAGTTTGTAGTGACGATAGTCCCCACTATTGCTATTAGATGACTTCGCTAACTAAAAGGTCGGTAACGAATTCTGCATTTACATATGTAAGCAGGTATCTGCATTACATTTTAGTTAGTGAAGCCCTTTAGTAGCAATAGTGAGAACTATCGTCACTACAAACTTGGGCGTCTTCCTACCGACAGTGCTACTGGTAATAATGCCAGTCGATAAAAAAACTGCCTCAGCTTATTTTCTTTGCGGACGAATGTCGACAAATAATCGCCTGTGTTTTACAACGCAATCTGCTTACATCTATCTTTCTGAGCAATATTATACGTACAGGAATAGTAGAGTAAGCAGTATTACATTTCTTTTCAAAGAAAAATGACAATTAAATATTTCTCGATATATCAAAAAGTACCTGACGCGAAATGTTTTGTTTTTAGCTGTAACATTAACTAATTCGTTAAACTTAGTTCCTGCATGAAAGAAAAATAATTTTATAGGTAGGTCGAAAAAGTTTGAGAAACATTGGCATGCACAGCCTGTTTTAATGAATCAGGCCGTTTGAGGAAAATATAACAAGGGGGAATACCTCACTTTACCACAACACTATTGTGATTTGTGCCCGAATAGTTGGTTCCAGTTAGAGATAATGAATGAGCAATGTGACTACGGCACCTTATTTAATCAAGAAACAACCGAACAGGTGAGGTCTTTCATTGACATTTACTTTACGAACGGAACGATTCGTGTGAACAGGCTACACAAACATACATTAAAGATACCGATTTCGCAGGTGTTTTCAAGGTGATCTAGAGTTATTATCAGACATGAAATTCTTTCGTCAAAACAATCCCACGGTACTTTCACATTTTATAATGCCTCCGTACATTCATATCGCGATGAAGAATAATTTGAAATTTTGTAAGAAAGAAAAACAACATGGAAACCAAAATTTATATGATAATTAGCATGCAATAATTATCCTGAAGAAGGGCATACATTATGTTAAAATTCTAGAATTTTCATGTTACTGGACTGTTCTGTACTGCCATAAAGAGTCATTATTTTCCTCAAGAGACTAGTATTTAGGTTGTCACGGACTTCGTGTTGTCCGCACGGGTCGCACAACATTGAAATGAATGAGTGAACGTAAGCGAGAAAGAGTTAAAGTTTCGTACAGAGGTCGCGATTAGATGTTTACTCATACGTAGTAGATGTTACGTTACGAACAAGTTTGCTAGCGTTTGTCAAGCCTTGATCGAGGATTGATATTCATCGAATAGTTGCGTAGTTTTGTAAGAAGTTATCGAAAGTGCCGTGAAATGCTGCACGATTGTCAAGTATCAAAGATACATCGAAATCAACAGGAAAATATTTCTATCTTCTTGACGTAATTGGCCCCATACCAAACCCACTCTACTCGTAAACGGTATCACGCAGATGCATGATCGCGAGCGAGCGAAGACAATAGAACAGAGGGAGAGAACGCGAAGGTAAACTTGCGAGATAGTAGAAGGGATGCGTCGAAATCGGCCGTAACTGGACCAACCTGCTAACTTACGCAGAAATACAATCAAAATGTTTGAGCCCACGGAGCAGGGAAAGGTGAGAACCATTTGTAAACTATCGTACACGTACGATTTCACGACAAGGGAAATTTGACACGAATGTCACGCTTCGTCAGTTTTTGAAATTGACGTACTCTAAACATCCATCCACATGCAGTGCCCGTGATATCTCAACACGACCTTTGACAATTTATACAGAGACATGCGAAACTTTAAATGTCATTCGTTTTTCTCTTTATATATCACCCAATTATACGTCATTGTCACGTTTGGATAAAGTGATTTTGCTCCATTCGTTTAATGACATTGTTAATGAGGTTAGGTGATTGTTATTGTTACTATTACGCTTACGCAATAATCGTCCATTTCGAGTTACATTTTATGAAATGCAGTTTCTGTTTAACATTTATGTAATTGTGATCTTGATTTTAATTAGGATTTGTGCATTCATACGGGAGTTGTACTTAGAGGTGGAAGTACAAGAGAAGATGAAGTTCACAGTCTAGGAACATTAAATGTTGTTGAATATGTAAGCAAACTTTACATATATATTATTTCTTGCGATAAGCTGTTCATGATATACGTAACTTGACTTAAAATTGCAGAGTTTTGGGAAATGTATAGAGTGGAAACCTATGGAAGATTCTGTGGTATCAGAGAACCAAGATCAAGATCCAGAATGGTCTTTAGTAGATACGCATACCAGGCGTACTCGAACTTCCTCAGAAGGACCAGATTCTCTTGGACGTACAAGAAATGTCAGAATTTTATTTTCAGATTTAAACTCTTTTCGTTTAAATCATGGAGGACAACAGCTAATATTTATGCTAAAGGATGGTACCACCTATGTTGCCTTCTTTCAGTTGTCTAATGCTGAAAGTTTTGTGAATTCTTTAAAAGGTTTCATTAGATTTGTAAAGTCTCGAGCAAATAGAAATTTATACATTGTAGTAGACGAAGTGCAGACTGTATTAACCAAATCATTTGCTGAGCTAGACTTATTTCAAGAAAATACTTCTGATTATGTTTGGAAATTTGTGAAGAATTTACAGAACCGTCCATATGAAACAACATTGGAAGCATTTAGTAAACTGTCAGATATTTGGTGTAAGTGTGTTCATAAAACCTGGAGTTATGAAAATATACTATGTGGTTTTTAAGAATTTTTTTGTATAATCCTAAATTATAGTGTACAAAGAGCCAGCTAGACGTCCAGTTGAAGAAGCAGTTGCAGATATACTAAATAATTCACTGTCAATTGATGTTCCTCATCCACCTGTGTCTATAGGTTCTGGAGAGGAATATGAAGTGATTGGAGAACATGGGTTGGGTGTGATATTACCTCCACGATCACCTTGTCCAAGAGGTATAACAGAAATAGTTTTGCATTAAATGATTTTATATAAAGTACATAAATGTACGTGATTACGATAGGTTCACCACTGTCGCAAGAACAGTGGGACAAATATAAGGACTCAGAGGGGAGAATTTTAAATCCTCAAGAAGTAAAAGAAGTTATTTTTCGTGGGGTATGTATACATAATTTAAATTCAACTTTTTTTTATATCAATAGCTATTTTATGTAGAAACTACCCGAAATATCCTACTAACCCTCGTAAAAAATGAAATACAATGAATTAACTAAAGACGAGTAAAAATTCAGGGCGTGGCACCATCATTGCGATTCGAAGTATGGAAATTTTTATTAAATTATTACCCATGGAATTCTACACACATTGAAAGATTGGAACTCAGGAAAAAAAAGACTGATGAATATTTCATGATGAAATTGCAATGGAGGTCTATGACATCTACGCAAGAAAATAATTTTTCTGATTATCGAGATCGAAAAAGTTTGATAGGTAATACACGAATGTAAAATAATTACATAAATACATTTATGCCAACATGATAACTTTAATGTACGATATACATTTTTAGAGAAGGACGTCAATAGGACAGACAGAACACATCCCTATTACATGGGTGATAATAACCCACATTTAGCACAATTATATGATATTCTTATGACGTATGTAATGTACAATTTTGATTTGGGGTATGTTCAAGGTATGAGTGACCTTCTTAGTCCTATTTTATGTTTAATGGAAAGTGAGGTCGATGCGTTTTGGAGCTTTGTTGGGTTTATGGATAAAGTGGTAGGTATATTATATATTTTGGAAGATAATTGTTTGTATAATAATTTTAAAACGAAATCGTTATACCCAAACTAGTGTACCAATTTTGATATTGACCAAGCTGGAATGAAAGATCAATTGTGCCAATTGTATACTCTCTTGAGTACTACAGATCCGCAATTAGCACACTACTTAAATATGCAGGATTCAGGAAATATGTTTTTCTGCTTCCGTTGGCTTTTAGTATTATTTAAAAGAGAATTCAACGCACTCGATATAATGAAATTGTGGGAAATATTATGGACTGGCTTACCATGCAAAAATTTTCATCTGCTTTTATGTCTAGCCATTTTAGACACAGAAAGAAGCATGCTTATGGAAAATCGTTATGGGTTCACGGAGATATTAAAGGTAAGCATATTAAACTATAAATTTAAGTAATTTTTTGTTAATTAAGATACGATATTCTTTACAGCATATAAACGATCTTTCGCTTCATATTGAGTTACCTTGGATGTTATCTAAAGCAGAAGGTATTTATTATCAATTAATGTCAGTAGCGGATCAATTACCCGATAATGTTCGTACAATAATTGGACTTGAACCTTCGAATAAAACGCCGTCAAATACTATTGCGGAAAACGGCGAAGCTTCTGGCCACGATGTCGAAGCTATTGGAGATAATACTAATTCCAGGAGAAATAGTAGAGAAAGTGGTAATGTTAAGCTTGGGGATAACGAAGTATCGTTTGAACGTGGATTAAATTTATCGTACATGTGAGATCAGGACAGATCGTTTATCATAATTTGAGAAATGTGTGGTGCACCGCAGTCAATTTTACAAAACTCGTACTTTTAAAAAGCAGCATATGAAGTCTACTTTTCGAAGAGAACTTGCGCGTTGTTTATTGGAACAATGCTACGATGCCTTTCTGGCACTCAACGAACTTGGACGTGCGCAAACGACATTTCATACAAACTGCAATTGTAATTTTACAAAGACATCTATACTGTATACCCACTGAATTGTTCTAAGCAGAATAGTAACATCTAAACGATACGTCTTGATCGTTGAACTTGAAATTTTGTTGTATAAACGTCAAATAATACCTCGAATTTACGAAGTTACAGCGAGAACTATTGTTAGTAGCGTTGAATTTTGAGATATTTATGAAATTCACTGTAATTACGAAGAGATTATAGACCGCGCATACTTAGCAAATAAGAGCGTAGTTTCTTATAAACAAATATTCTTCTTCATAATCATACTTTCGATGCATAGTCAATTTGGAACGATGCGCAGAAGCAATTTACATCATATTTTAACTTCAACCAATGTTATGTGCTCGTGTCATTTTCACTTAAGTTCAAATGTCTTTTCCAGATTTGTACAAAGCCTCACTTTCAGACAGTACTGTATATTTCTAATAAAAACCACCTGTTTAATCTCTGATATATATATATATATATATATATATGTATATGTGATAGTTTCTTTATATAATATATCATTCTTGATATGAAAAAGATAATTGTTTTAGTCTTAAAAAACTATTTAAGTCTTGATCTCAAGGCATAAGTAGAATAATCAAAATATTAATGAGAAAGTAAATTTATGATCAAAATAACAGGCATGGTAGAAATGTAAACAATTTAATAAAATATATGTATAAATAATATATATTTTGATTACGAATGCGTGGTAGATCAAATTCGTGATTATGTAGTGTTATCACTGTTGATGTCGCGTCACTCGTTCGTGCGAATACCCGTACAAATGTAAACAATGGTTTTTCTATAAACGTAAACCTTATCAACAGAATTAATTACGAGGTATGGAATTTACTGCTCCAAAGAATAATAGAGGACGAAAAAAGAGGCGACATCAGAAGAAACGACGTTGCGAAAAAATCAAATTTGAGGTTAAGTCTGCGAATCGTCAAAGATACATTTTGGAACGTACCGATATAGTTAGTGCTAAAGAAGAAATAATTTCCAATAAGATGCAAGCTAATTCTTTTTGGCAAAATTATACAGTAGCTCAAGAGTGGCAGAAAAGGTTAAATATCTATTTTGTTTACATGTAGATATGTTAATGTTTATTTTTTGAAATTGTTATACAATTAATTTAAATGTTACAGACATAATGTAACGTGGTGGAGGACTCGTTGTTTTGCCTTAGAACACGAGAATAAAATATTGAGAAATAAATTGAGGTCATTAGCTTCTCAGAATGCTCAACAACGTTCTTCATATGCAGAAAGAAATTATGATTACAAGAACCAAAATGCAGAAGAAGTGGAAGATGGAGCAAGTACCACAGAAGAGAATGAAAATTTAGAATTCCACGTGAACGAAGATATGATGAGCTTTTTGGAACAAAGCATAAGGCATAAAATTGAATTGAAGAAGAAACGTGAAGCTGAATCATCTGTCAAAAAAGAAGAGGAGGAAGATGAAAATGCTTGTATTCAAGGTGGAGCTGCATGGATGAATGCAAAGAACAACAATGCAAAATTATTATATGGCAATGCTAGCTCTACAATATTAGCAATGGAAACTGCCCTCCAGACAACCATTGATAGACACAAAGATATAGCAAAACCTCAGTATTGGCCTGTTATACCTTTAAAACCATAAACTCTAAGATTATGAACGATTTAAATGTAAATCTGTTTAAATATGTATTTAATAGACAAATATAAGTAAATCTTTTTCATACATGTCATTCATTCAAAGGTGTGTTTCTTTTGTCCTCGCAACTGACGAAAGATGACGCCACGTACACCTTTCTTTCTCAAAGTGCATCTGTACATGAGAACAAACGAGGTATAGAATAGAGCCCCGAAATCTGATAATAGAATGTAGCATTGCTTATGTTTATTATACATACATTTCGTTTACGCTCTGATCACCATATTTTTTGAAACTATACATAGCATGTAATGGTATTTGCAATTACTTTATTCAAAAGTAGTTATTCCAAATTTTAATGGGTACAAAAGTAATCATTACTTTACAGCCAAGCCCCTCTGTATACAGGGTGATCCATTCGCTGGTAGACACAATGGACAACCACAACAATAGTTGACCGTCATTGTAGATTTTATGACGGTGACCCCCGCAGCGAAAGCGGCTGTATGGGTGAAAATCTGTGTGCCGAGGACTTTTCTGATCGGCACACACATTTTCACCTATACAGCCGTTTTCGCTGCGGGGGTCACCGTCATAAAGTCTACAATGACGGTCGGCTATTGTTGTGGTTGTTTATTGTGTCTTAATATATTCACAAAAAATGTCCTACTACAGTAACACATAGCTATATGTTTTTCAAACCAATCTACTGAAAGTCTCGCTTGAATCATCAACTTTGAAGTTCTATTTAAATGAAAATGCTAAAGTATTCTAGATAGGTTAGTTTCTGAGGGGGAGTGGGAATAAGAAAAGGAAAATGTCTTCCTCGGTAATCCCTGCAGTTCTCAACTGTAAAGGCTGAATTTTATTGGATCACGACAGACAGATCGTACACGTATCGAGGATTCGTTACGATAAGATGCGTCATTCTCAAAGTTATTTCGTGGAAACGTATCGCGAGACTGATCGTGGATCACGAGAAAATAAATATTCTTGGTGTGTATCGAAGATAGATTAGGAAAGGACAGACGAGAGAGTTCTTCGGCCAGTCTGTCAATACGTTATCTCCCGGTCGATCCGCTGACACGGTCTATGGAATTCTGGAACCAGTTCGAGAGGCTCCGACATCGATACTTTGGTCCAGAGAAAGCCCCTAATTATCGAGATAACGCGTGTCGCGGTGTCGATACTGGTTACGTATCGGATCTCCACCTTTACCTACACTCCCACGGGTTTTTTGAACGATTTGTTAGCTTTTCGAACTCTATATTGTACTCTTTCGATTTGAGTATTATAAGCACTAGTACAAATATAGCTGTGTCCTTCTGTCGTTATATTTACAAACTACAAAAGCTACGTAGTTCAATTTTTGTTATACACATGTCATCAAAATTAGTGGTTTAATATCAATATTATACTCAATGTTCTACGATTTAAACACGTTTTGGATCAAATGATCAATTTATATGCAAATATTCTTTCTTAGGAAAGGGGTCAAGGAAACGTGTTACGGCGATGTTCTCCATACACATCAAAATTTTTCTCCGATCAACGTTCACGAAGATTCAAGTTATCGATCGACACGTGGCTCTTTTTCTCGATTTGTAGCAAACCGGTCGTACCTACGCAAAGTGGGCTCAGTATGTACGAGAGGCGTTTTATATCCACCAACAACTTTCATTTAGATCTTTATCGATCAACTTTCACGGTATACTCGCGTGTTGCTCTTTATTGCTTCGGTTTTGACGTTCTCGACGCTTTTCCGTGAACGGAGCACTCGGATTTTAGGTACTAAATCTTCATTCCTCCCTCCTTCTTACCTCAACGAGTTTGCACGTCGACTAGAATAATCGTTTTAGTTGCAACGGTATAAATTCTCTCGTGTAAGTTTCCGTGTGTCTTTTGATGCAAATTGAAACTAATGATATATACCCTTTCTGTATTTTGCTTGGAAGTAGCGTTATGAGTCACTTATGAGTACGTACCAATTGATGATGATTTGATTCGTTGTAATTCTTAAAGAGGGCGAGGTTGTATACGACTGAATACTAGTATATACGGCCAAGCTTCTCTCGAACATCTCGGTTTCGTGCATCCATTCTCAAGTAGCCACTAAGTGCACGCGCGTAACATTTCTTTTCCACGGGCAATTTCGAGTCTTTGGCTCTCTGATCGTACTCAGAAGTCGTTCTCTAGAGCATTTGCGACCTCGTTGGAACATTTTAAGTTCTACCTTTCGTGCAACGCGTCAAGATAGCGGTGGCAGGGGGAAGGATGAACGGGAAGGTAGAAGGAGTTTACTTTTTATCGGGTCCGTGTCATTAGTGGCCGCAACGAGTACTCTAAGTTGGTATCAAGGACTCAGAAGTCCACAGAGATCTTCGAGACGGGCGACGACGATGACGAGGACGCGGACGAGGACGAAGATACCGAAGTACCTACCACCGTTCGCCTTATTAGGCCTCGTCCTCTCTCTCTCCCCCCTCGTCCTTTTCACCCCTCTTGGTCCCCGTCTTTCTGCTCTTAAAATCATGGCCGCACGTAACCGTCTACTGATTATATGGATTCGGCGATGATTTCTGATGATGCCCCCGACCCCCGAAATGGTAAAATAATACAGTGTCGTCTCCTAGCCCGGACCCTTTTGGTCCCGTGGGCCGGTTCGTTAGCGGGGCCTTGGCGCGAGGCACCCTGTCATTATGCGGCTGGTCTCCATCACCCCCACCAGTTCCCAATTTTCAGTGCCCCTCTACTACGCCTCGACGAAATCTCTTACCTCGGTTTCTTCGCTTTGTCCCTCGCCTTTACAGTCATCTCTTCCTCATCCCTCCACTCTATTATTCAACATTAGCACTGTTCGCTACAGTTAGCGGGGAAAGAAAATCCTTCACGTGGATTCCATCGACCTCTTGGACATCGTGATCAACATTGTGCAATTATCAGAAATGTAACAACGAGGGTGTAACTAAAAATAAACTGGGAAACAATCGGGACGAATTAAATTATCTATTCGCTTCTCAATCCGCGTCACGAAATCATGTTTTTTACGAAATTCGAGCGCGAAACTCTAGAGCCGCTCACGACTACTGCGGACATTCGAAACTCGTAACTCGATCGCGCTCGGTCCGGCTGGCACCATCGTTGCGCCTCCGCTCGCAACAAACGTAGTTGCTTCTTTGTCTACTCGATCCCTCTTCGTTTTCGTGCTCCTTATTTTTCTTCACGCGGATAGAACTTTGATCCAGTCATTCTCTTTCCGATGTGTCGGTGTCATTGCGCCTTGGGGTTGAACGCCTCGTCACGACCAGATCTCGCCACCATTCCTAGCTACGCGCGTGAATTTGTTACAGAAACACAGCGCGCAGAGTGGCAGATATCACGACAGGAAATAGACGACCTGCTGCTTCGACTGCAATGTGTGGAACTGATTTAAAAAAACCGGGAATCCAACTCAATGAATACCTTAGCCAGCTACGGTAGATCCTGTTTTAAAAGCACGTAGTAAAATCAACAGGTCTAGAATTTCTTGTTTATAACGAGCTTTCGAGCCGCACCTTAGAGATTCGGGACGACAATTAATTGAATAGCAATTCGAATATCACCTACTTTATCGTCTAATGTAACATGTTGATTTTTAGGTTTTTTCGAACGTGAATTCAAGAATCCTTCGAGGATTCCAGCCAAAGAATTACGCTGGTGAAAGAAGAGGGAAAGGCGAGTGTACCGTGAACGCGGAGGACCGGATGAAAGGCCACGCCGGAAGCCAACCGTCGTCGAAAGTCCCCCAGGTTCTTTCAGATAAGTTCGCGGTCCTTCGTCTTCAAACGAACGACTCGTCCTTGGTAGCCGAGCACGGGTGTAGGTGGCCCTCGCGACCGGCAATCATTTCGCTTAATGACGAGAGCTTTGTCGGTTCTCGTCTCTCTCTTCGGTTTCGGATTATCGCGGTCCGTTCTTTCCTCGTATCCACGGGGACCACTTTGCCTCTTTCCGTTTCGTCTCTATCTTCTTCTTCTTTCGCTCTTTATTTCCGAACTCTGTAATTTTCTCCTAGCGACCGTGCCACCACGTCGCGCCGAAATTGGCGTACAGCGGGAACAGTTCGTAGAAAGCCCCTGACGTTCTTTAATGGGCTTTGGCCACGTCCGAACGGTGACAATGGCATTTCTGTTGTGCCGCGTCTTCTTTCGAAGGAACGGAGAAAAAAAAAGGAAGTACCGATGCAACGAGGGAAGCGCAAGAGGCGGAGGAAGGAAGAAGGGAGGAATCGCGAGAGTCGAGGAGAATTAGGAGGAGGACAATAATGGGGGGAATAAGAAGATCGAGAGGAAACGTTGACTATAAAGAAGAGGAAGGAGTCTCCCGTCTCGATATCTTGCTTTCGGGGGCCTCGGCTCCCGATCGACATCACGCATGTATCCGCGGGACGCAAAGTTAAGGCGGACTTGGGACAACGTATGCGTTCCGCGGAACAAAGGCCAAACAATTGGGCGCGCGCTTGCGGTTGGGACTATTCGAATGGTTCGATATTCGAATACTTGACAAGCATTCAGAATCTACGTATGTACTTTGTACATTTTGATACAATGATGGCGCTATTCATGAACTAATTTACGGTTTTCCTATATTTGTTATAAATTTGCAATATGTATTTTATTCAAAGCTTTATGTTACTATTTGTAACGTCATGGTATGCATACATTTTGAATAAAGCAGCAATTTCAGTTTCCATATCATCAACTGGGCCTTATAATGTTTCAACTTGAACGAGATCGCTGACATCGACAATAAATACGACGGATGTGGCGTGGAATGACCAAGTATGCGAATTTAGGTTTCCAGACGGTGGCAAGTCGTCGCGACGTCTTTGGTCGCGGGCATGCGCGTGTTACGCGCTCGAGGTCGAGCTGCTTTCCTGCTTCCAGCACCTGCGAAAGATCGGGCCGCGTGGCCGATGCCTGAGCAAACAATACGAACAGTGATGCACCGTCTCGGGCGTATTGTCCGTGGCGAGTAGTAGTAGGCGGCGAATTTATCTGCCTACTCGTAGAGTCAGGTAGAGGAATCGGAGGGTCCTCGACCCTCGAGGAGCGTCGCGCGAACCGACGCGACGGAACCTGATGGATCTCTCCTTCGTTCTGTCTCGATTTCGTGCAACGAAGCCGACACCTCCGTCGATTCGTTTCGGGTCGTCGACTGTTTTATCTTTAATCGATAATTCTCAATGCCGACGCGTTATCGACATCGAACCACTAAATCAGGTCAGGGGTTCCCATTCGTGAACCGTGGCCTTCTGACTAATTATCTCGGTTTTCAGGTGGCCCGTGTAGCCGGCTGAGTTCTTATCACTTCTATTATGACGATTCAAAATATTGGGGTTTTAGAAACGGATAGGAAACGTTACGCGGTAATGTCCTTATGGTAATTGTAGTTTTATGGTAATTGTAGTGGACACCTAGAAATTTGTTCTACTTTATCCTGGTGAGGTAAACGCGATACTCGAAGTATCGAAAGCGCAAGTGCTTCTGCGTACTAATTTGAATTCCTCGAGTATATGAAATTCCAGCGCGTGCCGGCGGGAGGAATTCGTTAATTTGTTCTTTTTTGTGTCGCGTCTCTTAGATTCTCGGTCGCGCCCGCCGCGTCATGAGTCACGCGCTGATGAACGGAATTATTAACGCGAGAATTTATCACTTACGGTCTACCTGCGCGCCGCGAGTAAATCACCGTTGATCTATGCGTGCATCGTTGCGAAATATATCATCGAAACACGCGATTATTCCGGAAAGCCGAGTTCGTACTTAGCCGTGTCATCGCACGGCGTCGAATGCATCGTGTAACCCAACGTCGGTCTCGTGCCCTCCCGGGCAACGTGTTAACAGATCGTCAAAATTAATGCGCCGCTTCCCGTTAAGATGTAAATTTCGTGACCTTCGAAACGGCGTACGTACCTAGAAGCGTCGAAAACAGGTCAACATTCTCTTCCAACCGATCGATTGAATTTATTAAATCAGAGTCACGGTCGTTTACAAGTACATACTTCAAGAGGTGCTTGATGTTTGTCTAACAGTGTTGAAGTATTAGAAGCGTTAAAGCTTGCTCCAGTTTCCAGAATCACCACGCACAGTGGCGCGAGTAATTATCAAAATCTTTTTCCACTTACATTATTTTATATTTCTTATTTTACTGTCTCGTGAATTCGAGATTTATTATTATGTTCTTCCATAATTTATTATTATTATCCGAGTCACCTCGGAAGAGATTGAAAGATCACATCGAAACAGATGATTATCTGCTATTCCGTCGTTTCTCGTTTGCGTGTACGAGTCGCTACGACTTTATTCAAAGCAACCACGGCACTTTTAGTCTCGTTACAAACCCGAATTATTCCAGGTTTTTTTGCGAAATTCGCGCAAAACATTGGAGCCGTGATGTATAGCATTCGTTAGTGAAACATTTTTTTTTCAACATCCAGAAATGTCATCAATATAATCAAGTTGAGAAACCTGATAAACGTTATTTTTTTTTTTTTTTTTTGTATACCTCGACGAAGTGCTAGCGACAGTTGAAAATAAATTAGATTAATTAATTTCAAATTAATTTCAAATTTTATTAATTTTATGAATTTTTTGTTATCGGCAGGAATCAAGCACGGTTCACGGGAGAAGATGAAAATTCGGTAAGCGGCGCGCAAACTGTCCAGGAATCTTTTCCTCGTCACGTCACGAGATTCCAGGACCTTTGGCACGGGCGTAGACGAGGCTCGCAGGGCCCAGCGCGGAATGAACGCCGACGGTAAGTCAGTTCCTCGCATACCGGGCGCTCAGGTAGGTAGGAAGGCGGCGAACGGTGCTGAAGAAGGAAAGAAACGAGAAATCTACGGAGAAAGGAAGAGCCTTCGCGGTTGGCCGAGAAGAAGCGAGATAGAGGCACGGCCGGACGAGCAAGCAAGCCAGGCGAGCGAGGAAAAGAGCGAGCGAGCAGAGAGTTTGGTATAGTCTAGCTGCTCGGTGCCGCGAAGCGCGCTGAATGCAGAGGCCCCGGTATATCGGGCTCGCTCCCCTCTCCAAGATGGCCGCCAGGTTAGGTTCCCCTGACCGAGCCAGCCAAGTCCCACCAGGTTAGGGGAAGGGTAGGCCTTGCAGGTGCCGCCATGTCAGTGCATGCCTAACTTCGACGCCGCGCGGAACGGACGCTGGGCCCAAGAACGCGACACCTCGTGCTGTTCTTGCTTCTTGCCATATTGCTCCTACGGGCCAGGAGCGAACTACGGACGACCGTGTCCGTCGTCGTGAATCTTTGCGTTCAAGGTCGATCGGTATTTCGCAGCGAAACGCAGACGCGGAGCGATCTTATGCCCAGGAACACGGACGTGTACGTCTTCGGAAGCGAAACTCGCGCGCAGAGGGTGTCCTCGAGCAAGAAGAAACCGCGATACGCGACGAAGGTCACGCAACGGGTGTATCGTCGCGGTACGTCGACGAGGTGGGGCAAGCTTTATTCGCGAACGTCTTATCTTATTTTTATTCGCGTCGCGTAACACGGTGTTGTGTGTCGTGCAGGACAGTTTCGAACGGAAGGTGATCTCGAAAGCGAACACGGTTGCGAGCCGAGTCGAGGAGATAGTCTCGCCTCGCGCTCTCGCTACGCTGCTGCACCAAACGGTCCTACTGTCTGGTCGTTCGCCTACGAGAGGATCGATTGGTGATCAAAAAGACGAGTGGTCCGTTACGAGGATGACAAAAGGTGCCGCGAAGCGGAAGATGTAGAGCTCGAAGAGCGAAGAGGTTTTGGAGCAATTTTTGGAGTCGGAGCGACGGAACGGGATCGGAGATGAAGGCAGCTCTGGACACGAGACGATCGGCCCGGTCTCGCGACCGATCGTTGTCCTGATCGTCTATCTATCAGGCGTGGATCTATCGCGAGGAATGCACGATATCTCGCGGGCGAGGGTATTCTAGCAGCGGCTAGGACAGCGGATAGCACGGCGTGCCAGCAGGCGAAGAGGGAAAGAGAGATATAGCCCGGCACGTACGCGTCGGTAGAACGAAAGGAGGAAGAACGGGAGGAAACGAAGGAAGAGGCTGCGAGGAGGAACGAAGGCGGAGCGAGAGAGACGTGGAACGGTGTCGAGATAGGCTCTCGCGTTCGCGGAAGGAATTTCCACAAGGTATCGGCGACACGGCGAACACCGCGCTGGGAAAACTAGAAGACGATAGAGAACGTCGCGCGGGGACAATCGGCGGTTCGGTGATTACGAGAGGAAAAGCCAGGATAAAACGTGATTGTGCTTGGTGGTGGTGCTGCTGGTGGGTGATCAGTGTGCCGGTGGATCGCATACTTGTGCTTTCTACCGTCGGTTTTATCGAAATCGTATTCTCATTTCGGAGCGTGTCCGTGGGCCCGCGACGGAACGTTGGTAGGATCGGTGGTACTCGATTTCGCGTCCTCTCAAGATCGATCGTACGGGGATGGAAAGATCGAGATAATAGCGCGAGACGGAGGTGGAGGCGGCGGCGGTGGTGGAGGCCCCAGGATGCGGCACCTGCTACTGTTCCTCGTCCTGGGAGCGACCCTCGCCCCGGGCACGTGGTCCGAGCACGTCAGATACTTGGAGGTCTCGGAAAACGCGAGACCCGGCACCAGGGTAGGCTTCATCAACGCCGACAGCCCGCCCTATTTGATAGTGTCGGTGTCCGGGTCCGCGGTCGAGTCGGACTTGAACGTGGACCATGCGACGGGAGAGATCAGGACGAAAGTGTCGTTGGACCGCGAGACCAGGCCGTCTTACAGCCTGGTCGCGTTGCCGCAGAACATTCAGGTGGTCGCGCTGCCGCAGAACATTCAGGTGGTCGTGAAGGTGCTGGACGAGAACGACAACGCGCCAACGTTCCCCGTGGACCACGTGGACATCGAGTTCCCGGAAAACTCGCCGCGCGACGCGAAACGCGCCTTGCCGCCCGCCAAGGATCCCGATCTCGGCCAGAACTCGACGCAGAAGTACGAGATCGTCTCTGGAAATCACGGTGACGCGTTCAAACTGTCGCAGCACCGCGGCCGCGACGGGGTTCTCTATTTGGATCTGCAGAACTCTGGCTCCTTGGACAGAGAAGCCCGTTCCCAGTACCATTTGGTGATCGAGGCGGTGGACGGGGGCGTTCCTCCTCTCCGATCGCGGCTTCGCGTGAACGTGACGGTGCAGGACGTCAATGACAATTCTCCGATCTTCAATCAGACGACGTACGTTGCCAGCGTCCCGGAGAACGCGACCGTCGGCACCCCGGTACTCGCGGTGAACGCAACGGACAGCGACGCTGGGGACAACGGACGCATAGAGTATTCCATCAATCGGCGGCAATCGGATCGCGAGGAGATGTTTCGCATCGATCCCGAGACGGGCATGGTGTACGTGAACAAGGCGCTAGACTTTGAGTCCAAGGAACGCCACGAGCTGGTGATCGTGGCCAGGGACTGTGGCGCCCAGCCCCTCGAGGCGAGCGCGTTTCTCTCTGTGTGTGTCACCGACGTCAACGACAATCAACCGGCGATCACGATCATCTTCCAATCGGACGACGCGACGCCCAAGATCAGCGAGAGCGTTCAGCCGGGGGAGTTCGTGGCTAGGATATCTGTCAGCGATCCTGACTCCAGGACCGAGTACTCGAACGCCACGGTCTCGCTGTCCGGTGACGAGGGATACTTCGGATTGGCCACCAGGGACAATATCATCTACTTGGTCGTGGTCAAGAAGCCTCTGGATCGCGAGAAGAAGCCAGTCTACGATCTGTCGGTCGAAGCCACCGACGCGGGCACGCCTCCGTTGAGAGCCGTTCGAACCTTTCGGCTCCTCATCACCGACGTCAACGACAACGCGCCCAAGTTCGCTCAGGAAAGGTACGAGGCGCACCTGCTGGAAGCCTCGGAGCCAGGCACGTCGGTGTTAAAGGTGACGGCCGTGGATCTCGACGAAGGCGCCAACTCGGCCATCAAGTATTCTCTGTTGAACTCCACGTGGTTCACGATCGACGAGACGTCCGGGCTGATAACCACGAGGACCCACGTGGACTGCGAGGCAGATCCGGCGCCGATTCTAGTGGTGATCGCGACGGACCGCGGTCAACCGCCGTTGAACAGTAGTGCGATAGTGCGTGTGACGGTTCACGATCTCAACGACAACGAGCCCATCTTCGAGAAGCCGCTCTACAACGCTACGGTTTCGGAGGCCATGCCCGTTGGATCCTGCTTTCTCAAGGTGAGTTTTTGCAAACTTTTCACTTGACCTAGTCATCGTTCGACGAGTTTAACGAGATCCCTGAGCTAACGACGCGAGCTTGAAGAAGCGTTCGAAAGATATAAGGCTATACAAGTATAACAAAACCGTTGCATCGGTTCCAGGAATCTTGCTTAACTCGTCGTGGAACGCGTGGTAGGTCGAGCGCGATGAAACACCGTCTCTCGTAACAATATACCTAAAGATAATATAAGACCCCGCGACGGTAACTGCCTCGATAGCTATTTAACAACGTAACTCAGCGACAGTTACGCGACGTGGACACGTGATTGACAAGGGAAGGACCCAACCTGTCACCCTTCCGTTTACCGTGCTCTCGCATGATGATAGTAGACAGGTGCCTGTTGCAGTGTGTAAAACATTAGATGCGGACACGTGATAATTGCGGTGATACGAGTAATTGTAGTTGTGTGCGGCGCGAGTTGCGCCATATACCGTGAATATTGGGCCCGTTCCATCCAAGTTGCCCTGGCGCAAATGGTATAAGTTCGCGGTTGTCATAATTTTTCTCGTGCAACAAGAGGAATGCCTTTGGCTGTGGCTGGCATGATACACATCGCTGAGTAATTACTCGGTTTTAAATTTGCACCACGGCGATCTCGATGGCACGGGTTAATATATTAGGGTGCCCCGGAAAGTATAGCGCGTTTGAAAACCTTAATTTATTAAGCGATAACTACAACAAAGTACAATTCCGAGGATGATAATTCACGTTCCTCCGGTATCATTCTGAAAGCAATTACCTGCAGTTTTCTGCAACGGTACGTCGGTTCTTTAGATGCGAGAAGATCCTGGTTCCACGCTCGATATCTTCGTCTTCGTTAGCTTTTGATCCGCATTCGTTGCACTTGCCTTCATTTCGACCACCTCGAGTAAGACGAGTTCCGCGTATCGAATCTTAACAAATGTCCCGAGCAACCCGACGACGATCACGTAACGTCGTTTTCCCGTAAACGAACGGTTTCCGAGATCGACGTTCCTCCATCTTCGACAGACCTGCTAATTGATCTGTCATCGAGACCGATTGCCGACATCCTCGACGAGGGATACGTCGCGAATTAATAGCGCGAGTGCCGCGTCGGCGCGAAAGTGACAGCACTCCGTGGACCGTGGATCCGCGTTTAACCCTTGCATAAGTCTCTGTGGAATGTTTTGCGTAAAGTCGCTTCTCGACGGTGCCTATCGTGTCAAAGGTTTCAGCAAACGCAGCCAGCCGAAAGGGCATCTCGGCTCACGAGCGCTCACGCCGCGGGCCAAGCGTCTGCGTTACGCTGGGAAACTCGTAATTGGTACCGCCTGATCGAAAGGTTTTCTCCGGCGTGTTGCAATTAGCGTGTATATCGCGAATATTCGTGGATCGTTATCGATCGACGTTCATTCTCCGCGAAAACCGAGAGTTTGCGTCGCTTCGGGCCTGAAGCTGGAATAATCCTTTCGCTGTTTACTCGGCTCGGGCAAGGCGAAAAGTATCATTGACAGCTGAGAAGAACGTATTTGTGGCGATGCATAATACATACTATACGGATACATCGTAATAATCGTTCTAACCGAGTAGATCCCTCAGAGGCATTCTTCTCATTTGCCAATTATACTACTACCACAACGCTCGAAGAACGTTATATCGCACGGATACACTAGTACCATTGGTAGCCGAGAAGAAAGCCTCCAAGGTGAGCGCACTCCTCGTTGTTTTCGGTTACCAGTGATACTGCTATCGGTACTCGAAGAACGTTGACAGGTTTGGTTTTACGTAGCGAAGGGTACGATCGTCCGTATTCGTGTATTTGCATGCATCGCACGTACTCGTTGCACGCCGTCGTGACGAAGGGAACACGAGGGTAGGGAGTGTAGAAACCTGAATGGGAAAAGCATCGTACGCATACCGACGACTACGCGACCGTCATGCCCGCTATCTCGTTGTTCACGACCCGAAAAGCTCCGTGCTCGCAATCTTTGTGGTCTCTCTGTGCTTTGCACGAAACACGTGGCTAGTCGTGGCGCGCTCCGTTCGCGCGGGGAAACCTGTTGCCCATGTTTTCTTTGTAGCCACGGCGAAACGCGCTTCCCCGAAGCGCTGTTTCAGCGAGAACAAGCTGCTCTCGACGTAGACGTTGCTTTACGAGCATCGCGATCGGTATTATTAGGTAGTTCGGAAATAAATGGCAGACCTCGCGCACTAGCTTCAAATAGAGTCACCCAATCAGAAGTTGATCGGTTCGCACGTTGTTAAATAACCTTGTCCTCTTTCATACATTTTCGAGCAAAGAATCGGAGCAAGCCCCGTTATTCACATCGAGTGAACTAATTCCAGAAACGAAGCGTTCTAGCGTCGCGCGTTTGTGAAATTCGAGACGTCGCGTCGCAACGATTCGCGAGCGGGATTACGCGGGCGTTACCTGGCGTCGCCTTTTAAGGACGATCGTCTCGGGCGCTCGGCGTAATCGTGGAAAGTAATACTATACTTACGCGCTCGTTTGCGTACGATAACGAAGTCGTTACAGGTTCTTGTGGGCTGTCGAAGCAACGACCGGTAACCCACTTCTTTGCCAGCAAAATTTCTCGATCGCTGCTCGACCGTACGGACGCGAAAGGGAAACGCTCTGACGTAACGCTTCGGTACGACATCTGTTCCCCGAAATCGTTCCATAATCATCCTCGCATTCGTTCTCTCTGCCAAGGTCTGACAAGTAAAAAAATCGACTGGGCTAGAGGAAAAGATTTCATGAATGGGAGTCCCCACCTGTCGCTACCCGTTGTCCCCCAAGTCGATTTTTGCACTTGTCTCTTCCGTGGTCGTTCGTAGGCGACACTCTCGCGCCATCCTTGGTCTCCTAGCTCGATTCGATTTGGAGCGAGCAGGGTAAAAGGATACGGAAGCGCAAAGGGTAAGATAAAAAGACGGAAGATGAAACGGACACCGCGCGTTGGATCGCAAGAGGACCGCGAGGTAGTCGCTGCTGCTGTGACGAAGCGTCTGTCATTCATAACGTCCGTGATCCGTGGACCGTGGATTCGTGAGGCACGAACAGAAGAGAAGGGATTGGCGAATGGAGGCGGAGAAAAGGGCGCGCGGTAGAAAAAGAGAAAAATCTTCCCTGGGCCACCCTCTCTCTCCTACGAGCGTCCACGTCCGTCCATCTGGCCGGGCGAAACGCGTGCCTCCTTTTTTCTCCCGTTGGATTGTCATCCGTATTCAAGGGAGAAGCGGTGAATGCTCGCGCTGGTGCACGCCGAATGCCGATGGAAATTGCGTGGAATAAGCGAGTACATTTTTCAATTGGCCCTTGGATGCATTTGCCGGGATACGCTTGGACGATTAGTTCTCAACGATCGCGTCGAATTTTTCTACGATATACCTCGAGTGTTCGTAACAATGTGGGAACTTGAAAAATTCGAATCCAAGTGTTTCAGATCTGGTCGTTCGAGGTACAAGATCCCGCAGGATCTATCCTTCTTGTTAGAAAATCCTTAGTTCGTTGATCCAGGCCCCTCGACTGAAATGTGGCGGTGCAAACGTCACGCGTAATCACACGCGACGTGCAACATCTAATTGAAACTTCTTCCAATAATTCATGGAAGTGATTACTCAAGAAATTTACATAAGATTGACCTGTTAATCTCCCATCGAGGAAAACAGGTCTGATTACATTATCGTCAATTATCCCTGCCCATACATTTATAGCGAATTGTCGCTTGTGACTTAATTGAAACATAGTGCGTGCATTTTCTTCCGCCACTAGAGCGAGTATCATGAAAATTGATTACTCCCGCTTCGGAAAATCCAGCTTTGTCGATGAATAAAACTAGGAGGCAGATAATCTTCGTCAAGTATTGTATTCGTTGGACGTAACACGGTTAAAACACCTCGAGAATGTAGTTTAGGCGAGCTTTAATCGTTGGTCCTCTGTCTCCAGCCTTCCATCGAAGCAGGTACCACATGTTAGGAAGCAGCCTGTATATTTTATTACCGTTTCGTTGCCTAGTTCAATGATGATTTATAATTGTTGCCTGGTCGACTGTAATTATTATAATTACAGATTTTTCGTCTGCGGGCTCTCCAGACCGTCTCTGGGGCCTGAACCGGCCGCGTCTTTTCGCTCCATCCCCTTTTGGTACCGACTCCACCCCTTCGAGTCTTCGCCTTCTTTTCCTTCCTCGCGTCTGTTCGTTCCCTTTTCTTCGTCCCCTCTCTACTCTCTTCGACTGTCTCTCTAGGTATACCTTGAAAACGGGTTTCGAAAGTCTACAGCGGCCCGAATCCTCGCGTGTTCCCGAGGTTTCCTTCTCGTCGAACGAGTGGCTTTCCCGCGATGCAAGTACAGTTCCAACACTTGGAAAAGATCTCCGCGAATACTAGTGGCAATAATTTAACTAAAGATCCGCAGGGTGCCAATCACTGTCTCATACTATTCCTTCGAGTAGCGACGTATGACACCTAATAGTTAGGCGACTGCTCGTCTCATCCCCTTAGCGATCAGGGCACGCCCACGGAGAACCTTGTCGAAGTCGTTACACCGCTGTACACCTTGTTCATACGGACACAAGCAAGCTCAGCAGCCACGTTAATTTCGTTCAACGATACCACCGATCGTCTCGCGATTCGTTCTTAGCGAAAGAGAAAAACTTTGGCCGGCATCGCGACTCCTACCACCAACCCATTCTTCTCTATCAGAATCCACGGAGGTCGACAACGTTCACGTTCGCGTACGTTCGCGTCTGAATAGGTGGCGGCGCGCGAGTATGCGTGCGTTCACGCGTGAAACTATTCGTATCCATCAGGCGAGTATCCGTCTCTCTATTCTACGTGGCAGGACACGGGTTCCAATTCATCCTCGCGCAAGCCTTCCATTATCCGTCCTAACTGGCAACCGAGGATCATTAAGCCACGGAGCCTTTTGTCCGACTGTGCGCGTCCGTCTCGTAACGACGGACGAAGAGGGAATATACGCGAGAGCGCGGAAAGATGAGGACTCGTGACGTTGCTCGAC